AGCTTTTTAATTTCCCCAAGACATTTCAAATCATTCACGCAAATTTCACGCAAGGCTTTGTTAAGTTAGTTGACATGAACTTAAAGGTATACTTTTTAAACTTTTTAGTTGGCAACTATGTTGACAAACTGTCCTTAAATCACATTTTAGAATAGCAGTTTTTTAGTTTTAGTTGATCTTCTCCCTTTACATAACGTGATGAAATAATAGGAACGAACTTGATTCTTTCTTATTTTGTTGTGTCAGAATATAGATAAATTTTAATTTATATTTATACATTAACAATTTTAAATAACAGGTTCTGTGGTATTTATTCCTGATATTTGAATGATTGACCAGAACTGCAAAATTGCGGCAAGTATGAGAAGTGTATCATTATTGCTAAAAATAGAACTAAAAGTATGATTGGCTTACACTCAATCAACAAATATCATTTGTGCTGGCGAGAATGTTTGAAAGAAAGTCTAGAATAAAGTGAGATTAATATTAGCTAGAGAACGCTAAGTTTAAGCTTTTTAAGGTTCTCTTAATACGCATTGCATCCATAAAAAACATTATTCCTTTATTCCATTTATCATCACTGTAATGTTATATCATTACTTGTGAGTCTTGTCCACGAGATTTTGAAACATGATTTCAAATATTAATATCTGTTAAAAGGTTGTAAGTTTTATCAGAGTCATCACCACGTCTTCTTTCAGTTTGTTTTTTAGTATCTATATACGCATTTCATGTTTTCATAAATTTATAATAACAAGACATAAAAAAATTATATTCCGTCGTGATCGAATTTTTTATACCCCTATCCCCTATAGCCTAGAAAAACAAGAAAAGTAAACGAACTATATTTCCATGCTCTATAATATAAAGTGGGCGTAGCTGATTTTTTCTATAGGCATGTGGGCGTTGTAGACGTGTCCTTGGAAAAGTTTAGATTAATTCCAAATTCTTTTGCAAATTTTGAGGCACTTTCGTTAAGGGGAGACTGTTTATTACAGATACTACGCAGTTGGGTAGACGTGTAGATGTACAGAGGAACACATACGCATGCTTAGGTGCTTTCCGAATTTAAAACTGGCCAGTTTTTGAAGCTTGCGTCTGCGCGATATTGAAAAAAAAAAAAATAAATTTCGATACACTGTAATATAGGGCAGGAGTGATCGATTTTTTTTCATCCTGGGCATTCCATACGTTTTGATAAAATGAGTACACTTCCCATCTTATGGATATAAAAATATAAAAGGACGACTTTGGGAATTTCAATACTATCGCTCTATTGCTTCATGTTATTATTATGAAATAGTCGATAACTTAATTGGCTCAGCGTTTATTTTCGATAATTGCATCAAATTTTTAATCAATAAAGTTTTACATAAATAATTTTCTTTTTTAAACTATATATAAATGTATATATGAAAGTAATGTAATGTATACAAATAATATTCCGCAACAATTCCGCAAGTTTTTAAAACGTATTTATGTATAAAATGTGCTCAATTGAAAATATCGCCCTACGTTCTTAACGAAAATTGTGGATATTAAACTGCAACTTTCTACTACAATTTCTGAGGCCATGAGTTATATGCCGTTTTGGTCACTTGAAAGGATCGTCTTTAAAGACTTGTATCGCCTTTTATGAGTGAAATAATGAAGGTTCCATACCATCACACTTACACAGAGTAATGTGAAGATATTTTCATATCTCAATTAAACCTGCAACTGTTTGTTTCCCGCTAAAGTTAAGGTGTTTGTGTTAAGTTAAAAATACATTTTTTATTTAAAAGTAAAATGTTGCGATTGCACTACGAGACTTCAATGTGTAACTATTGCGCAAAAGTAATTTGTATGTTTTGTTTTTTTTTTTTTTTATTTCATTTTATTTTTATTTTAGCAGCAAATTTTATAGTTAAGAAGACAACGATAACTTTTTGCTCCATATATTTCAGCTAAACTAACTAACTAACAATTCTATTTGTTAAATTAAAAAAGTTTTCAAGAATAATCCTCGGAGACTAATTATTGTAAGCCCTGCTTTGCTTTTCAATGACCAATGCTTCTCTCTCTTTATCCAAAATGTAAGAAAAAAAAAGCGAATTTTTTTTTTTTTCCTTTCTTGCAGCTTCGGACACGAGATATAGGAAATAGTAAGAACAAAAAAAAAAAACTACAAGAATCGTAAGAAGAAGTAGGAAAAGGAAGGAAAGGAAGATAACTGTAAATGTGACAGTATAGAGTTTAAACGAGGTGTTTTAGTAAGAAATGCCAACACTTGCGTACATATACATACATACCTACATACATACGTCCATACATACATACATAAATACATGCAAACAGAACAGATAACCACTAAACCTAAACACTTGATCTGGGAATGACTTTCTTTTTTGTTTTCAATTCTCGCTTCAAAAACTATAAAATATAGGAAGAAAAAAGAAATCACACACACATGAACACTTTGGAATGAAAAACTTGTAGTAAAAGTCTCTCTACTACTAAATGTGGTTTTTCGTAAACGAGTTTGCCTGCGTATATGCTCATGCACACATACACTGCACTGCGCTGCACTGCATGACACCAGTTAACACAAGATGATGCCAGTATTTGTAGTTGTTACTGCTATTGCTTTACACTATTACACTGTTTTGTTGTTCTTGTCCTTGTTGTTGCTGTTGTTGTTGCTGTTGCTGTTGCTGTTGCTGTTGCTACTGCCTCTGACAAATGTTATCGATTTTTAACGTTTTGAGTAGAAGCACTTCCCTCCCAATGCATCATGTATGACTATAAGCAAGTACATGTGCACGTATGTGCGAAAAATAGGAAGAGAGGAAATAAAAATTTTATTATACCCTTACTTCATACTCCACACAAAAGCCATTATATTAACTTTATCGTTCCGTTCGTAGCAATCTAAGGCATACATTAGAGACTTTAAAAATGGCATAGGGAGGTCGGTGCCTCAACTAAGAAATTTATGCCTGATTTTACTCTAAACTTAGTCAGAGTCTAAGTCAATTTAGCGAATTTCGGACATTTAGTTGGTGCGGTTGAAATTAATATCAGAAAGTGACATTGTTTCGATGATTTAAATGCGTGTTATGTGTGTGAAAGAGAATACAGATGATATGAAAGTACTTTCCCAGCATTTAAAAGTTTTCAAGGTTTTTTTTTTTAGAACACTAGCATACATTAATCTTAAGATAGATATACAAAATTTTGTAGCGAAAGTCGTTTCTTTAATTTTTTACTTTTAACAAATTTTTCTTTAGCTGACTCGTTTGAAATCGCGTCTGGTATCTTAAGGTTTTATAGTTACGACTGGAAAAAGAAGATGAGCTTAGTTTAGATTAGCAATATAAAATGATTATCGGAAACACTTCTTGCTATATATCTGAAATGAGCACAAGTTAGATCACACACGGATCCGTATCTATTTGTGAAAGAGCAAAACAATGATCTCTCCACAAATGAGTTTTCAGTACCTTCTTGTATATTAAAAGATGAAGAATCATGTTTGCATGTATACATATACATAAACAAGAATATGAGTTATTTATAACGTTCGTACATCTATTTGTAGAGAAAAGTAAATGCGTAATAATTTTGACAGTCCCCTTCCAATGTCGGGATATATTCTGGTATTCATTAAAATATCTTTACAATTAATAGACAATTACATGTGTCATCTTTGTTCACCTGCCTTCGCCGACCATATACTTGCTGTATTATGCTGTAGATAAGACCCAAAAGTATGAAACGGAACATATGCTGAGTGTATTAATGGTCAGTGAGTGGTCAAACTGAAGAATTCTTTCGGCCAACTGTTTGTCTGCCGGTGGAGCTTTTACTATTGCTTTTTGACGGTCTCACATCAGCTTTAAAATCGTGCCCGATTTGTCTACCCATTTTTAACTCCTCCCTATCCTTCTTGTAGAAACCTTGCCTAGTTCGACTTGGCTGTTCGAAATCTAATGAATTTAAACCATTTACGCACGCATTAGTGAAATTCAACAAATTTTTAAATAATCTGAACCTAGAGCAGAATTTGCTCGATATTTAGCGCATTTTTTAGACATATCTTTTCCCAAATTGTCTAAAGGCCCATTATGAAGTGGTTCGCTGTAAACGACTCCAGCCGGGGGACGCGTACTGTTAGCAAAATATTCGAACGATTTTTAACATAACAGGTGTATGAGATTCTTTGTAAAGTAAGCATTGTTTGTTCATTTATTTTACTTTTCTTGTGTTTCTTCTAACTTTCGCTTAAATAGCTTAACCCGGGTAAAGTGCAGTCAGTCTAATGTATCTATATAATTGTGTGTTTATGAGTATTTGCCATATATAGGCATGTGTGAGTATCCATGTTGATACTGTGGTGTGGTATATGTAGATAAATATGAACGGAGACAGACGTCTTGTCAATGAAGTGTCAGACAAAAAGTATTCGTGTATAAGAGAGTGTATTTCAACCAAATCTCTACTTTATGGGTATGTACTACTGTTCCTGAACATTGACGTGCACATAACTAAGCAACTAAGGTTTGACTCACGCATTTCTAATGTAAATAGGAAATAAATCCGATTTGTCTGCTGTGGGTGGTTGAGCAATGTAATTCGTGTCAGAAACCATTAGCCAAAGAGTTTTACTTGAATTCATACAAAGAAGAAGAACAGCAAAATTTCCTTTACTTCTCCAATGCTCTCTTTCCCTGTCTCTCTCTACCTGTCTCTCGCTTCGGTATATTCATTGGAAATAATCATCTTAGTAATTGTTAATCTGTACACTAATAACAACAATAACATTAAAATGAATTTGCGAATAAACTAATCCCTAATGAAGCCTTTGTAAAGTGCTCTCTCAAACAACTAAGAAATTAAAATGTAATTCATTTTAATTTTAATTATTTATTTTCATTAGACTTTTTAAAGAAGATCGGGAAGAGAATAAAAAATACAAAGAAATAAAAAAAAAAGAAAACAAAGGAAAAGAGAAAACTTACCTCATCGATAAATTCAAAATCACCGCCATTTTCGCCAATATACTTTTTAGGTTTCTTGGCCTCAACACTAAGAGACGATGACATCAGCAGCATTAGACCAATACTGACCATCAAACACATCAGACACTTCATATTGTATGGATTTTGGATTTTGTGTGTTTTCGTTTTGTTTGTTATTATTTTCTCCTCTTCCCACTTTCTTATAATATACGCTAATTAGTCAAAAGCAAAAACAAACACATATATATATAAATATATAAATATATAATATAATATATATAATATATATAATATATATATGTATATATATATATATATATATATATATATATATGGATGTGTTAACTACAAGTAAAAAAAAAATCTTAATATTTTTCTATTTATTTGATTTTTAGTTTTTCTTATTACAATAATTTGTATAATATCCTTCACCTCAAAAAAGAAAATAAGAGAATGCAAATTATTATGAGGAGGGACAACGCATAAACGAACGCACGCATACACGCACTCAAAGTAAAGGAATTCTTTTAACTTCCCAAAAGGAATTTAATTACTATTGTCTACAAGCAGCGACACTGACACTCACACACTTTTCCTTTTTTCCTTACAAGCAAGCATACACGCACTCACTCACTTATACTCGCTCTGTCAACCACTAAGTCGTCGTCATGTACAATATATATGATATATATGTTTGTACAAATACAGAAGCATGTAACCAACAGTACGCATGTACAAATACTGTTTTCTTTTTTTCTCTGTTTTTCTGTTCGCTCTCTGTTTTTTTCTTCTTTTCTTTGATTTAATTTTTAATCTTTAATTTTCTACCACCGCTAAAACTTATGGGCTTTTTGGGGGAAATATCTATATTTCTAAATAGATTTAATTTCTTTTTTTGTTTTATATCTATATATATATATATATATATATTGTCAGTTTTGTGTTTATTTTGCAGTTCTTTTTGCTTTATTTTACTTCACAATTTTATCTGATTTTTCTTAATCTATTTAATATTCTCTTTGGTTTTTTATTATCTAAATATTAAATAGCGTTACACGGTCCGAGAAGTTTTTCGTTACCTTTTCAACGCGACCACGTCCAAATGACTACTGAATAGTTATTCTGCAGAAATTTTCATTTGCTCTATCTGTAACGGTATGTTTTTGCTTACTATTTTAAAATGAGTTTACAGACTTTTATACAGGAATTCTGTCTCTTCTCGACATAGTAAAAAAATTTTCGAAATATTAGTCGAAATTTACACAGAGTTGCACGTATATGTTCAAATTTTTTTTAGCTTTTTCTTTCTTTTTTTCTTACCCGCCAGAAAATATATTAGGTTTATGAATTATTTGTAAAGCCCAGAAGTAGGCATCAGAAATTGAATTTTAATGTATACATATTTTATTCCAAAAATCTTTCCATTTCACTAGGTCCGATTCACACTATCTGTTCAATAACAGTAGAAGTTTGATTACAAAACTTCGTACGCGTACGTTATTATCCTTATAAGCAACTTACGATCATGGAAGTTTGAAACAGAAATATAGGAAATTTTGACGAGTGGTAAATGCCACTTTAGTTGATTCTGAATTTTACTTTTTCTATCATTTCTTTAGATTTCGGCAAAAACCCTATCAAGTCTATCCGTAGGGTGGCTCTTTACATATCTTTAAAAAAGAAAAATTTATCTCGTGCAGTCAACTTTAAAAAAAAAATCTTTCCTTTTTGATCATTACGGCGACGTGACTTTCGATAGAGATAATGCAATGAAATCAAAAGAATGTTTTCCTATCTAAGTTTCATAAAAAGAATTTGTAAAAGTTTTTCATAATTAATTAATAGTTTAGCACAAAAATCAATATTTAAAAAAAATTTTACAAAAATTTGATGTAAAAGATTAGCTTATTACGAAGAGATTAGATGAGCCTTTAAAATCATAAAAATAATAGATTATAATAAAATAGCCGAAAATAGTAGATACTTTGCAGTTCTATATAGTTGAGGAAGCGAACTACCTGACCACAAAAATTGCAACTTTTACATTCACAAATTTTCCGTTAGTTTTAAAGGTAAAATATCAAAATATAAAAAGTCGTATAAGGACATTTGTTGGAGCCCATGTATTATATACAACTGAAGCAGAGCTCAACATTATATATGGATTTTTAAAGCTTCACTCTTGACATTTATTAAAGGGTCAAGGAGGTTGAAGGAACCAGCTCCAAGCCGTCGAATACTTGTTCAAACGATTTACAAGCTTTAGACGTTTGGCAGTTTACATGAGCCTGAAAAAAGCTCGTTGTTCCTTTTCAGAAATTAAAAATAATAATAAATATTATGAATTTCCTACCCGCATAACGAATCCAGTATTCATTCTGGCAAACCGCCAAAAGTTAACTAACTATTTTTAAACGCAAAAGAGAAAGTCTGCTTAAGCTTGAAAGAACTCGCACTTGGCACAAAAGCTTTTACGTTTGAAGAAGAGTGCTTTACTGAAATACAATATATGTTTCGAGCAATGTTTTTTGGTAAATGCAAATGAAGAAACAATTGTTGTACCTTATGTTTGTTTTACTATGTCCAATGATTTTAACGCTAAGTCCTAGTACTTTTAACTGATAGAGATTCTAAGTAGCGAAGATTGTCACTTTGAAGCCATAAAAAGTGCAGGACTGGGATATGCTAAACAAGGAAATAGTTCCTGCTTTCTTCAAGTCGTAGTCACCAATGGCAATTACAATAACTGCATTTTCCATTAGCATTCAGATCTTCTAAACGCCCATCAAACCGTTAACTTTTTGTCCCAATAGTTAGCTATGAGGTTATGCAAATTTTTTTCCGATATCTAGTCAGATATTGTTTCACTGAAGTTTGTAATGATCGAATTTCCGTAACCTTACACCACTCCCCTAATATAATTCTTAATTCGTTTTCGTGATGAGAAACTAAAACCTATATATTGGCATATTAGGCATATTATCCATGCGATTCACCATAGGGTGCAAGGTATAAAAAATAGTTTTATATGGTCCAAAAATGGCACAGTTAATATTTATATCAAATGATCTAGTTTTCATGTCGTCACTTTTAAATATGTAAAACATTACTTCATTCAAATATTTCAACATTAACTTAATATATCGAAATGTTAATAGTCAGCGGTTTTTGTGGAGAAATTTCTAAAGTTGCACATTTTTCATATAGCAAGTCTTTTAATATATGTCACCACCACCCATCTTGAATAGGTTTTGCCTGTGAAGCCAGCCAGTGCATCAGATTTTGTCAAAACAGCGCAACAATTGCAATCAGTAGGTAAAATGCAAAAATGCAATGGGCAGAGAGACAAACAGACGTCCTGCAAAGCCCCGATCAATTAAAAGTATGAATCTGAATTGATGGATATAATGAAAATTGACTCCATATTATTCGCAAAAACTTAACACACCCTACGCCTTAACTGAGTATAGGGTATAAAAAGCGAATCATTATCGCGGAAATTATCGTAATTTACAGTATATGCGCATCGCAATCCACGTTATATTTGTGAGAATTCATTCTCAGCAAAACGTAGCTCGTAAATCTGTCTCTTAGCTTAGCTCTTATACTCTTTATTCCAGTCAATTAATATTTAAAACGAATATGAATCATTTAAAAATAACTAGAGAATATAAAAATATCATTGAAATCGCTTTAAAGTCATAAATCGATATTTTTCCTTATTTGGAATAAAATCGATATCTTATAAAAATAGTAAATTTGTAAAAAAAAAAAAAATGTTCCGCCAATCTTTGTAAAAAGCTTTCTAAAAGCGCGTTTTGCTCCCAAAGAATTTAAATTCTTTATAATATATTTATAATTTTGAAAAAAAAATAAATTTAAATATTTCAATAGTAAAGAGATACATATATACCACAAGTATGTAATTGTTGTTTGCGATTGTTGCTGATGTGTTCAGTTTGAGTCATTTGTAAATGTCGCCAAAAACACATCAATGCGGAATCCAGGCTATTTACCCTCTTTGGGTCATGAACTATTGGCAACGTAGTGTCGACTTTAAGCGGCAATCATAGCAAAAGGCGCACATTCGCGTACATCTTTTACGTATAAATATATATATATATATATATATATACGTGTATTATGCCTTTAACTTCTCTTATGGAATTTTTGGAAAAATTTCTTTATCATATTTCTTCCGCTATTTTCATATTTTTTTTATTTTTTTTATTTTTTTTGGCAGCGCTTGCAGTCATCATGTCGTTTAGAATGGCTTTGGGGTTTGAGAGTCAACGCCTTCTGCTTAACAATATACATGTAATACATATCTTTGTGTACTAAAGGAACTTTGTCTTGTTGCAGCAGTACTGTCAATATGTGTCGACATTTTATTTTATCTTGCCGACATTTTTTTTTTCCCAACAAAGATTCTTGCAATTTAGTTCAACTAAAGGTCGCTTTTAAAAGCAGTTTCATGCTTATGCTTTAAAAGGGATGGCAAATGTAGTAACTAATTTGAAAATTATATAGAGATTGTTAAGAAAGATTGTTTAAACATTTACTATCCGATTAACACTTGCTGCCTCTCGTTTGTTAGCTCCATTAGAGTGACTTGTCCATATAGTTTCATTCAAAAGAGCAACATTTTTACAAACTTGTTTAAATTGACTGAAAAAATTTAAATAGCTCACTTACTGGTTTGTTTACCGTATACTTTATTTAATACTTATATCTATCTACCATACTGAAATGGGTCAAGTTGATCCAACGTTCTTATGCAATCGCGATAAATTCAAAAATGAAAAAGAGAAACAGAAAGTTGACACCGATTACACCGCACTCTTACAATATAGAATAAACGGGGACAATCTTGAAAAAACACCGATTCTTTTCTTCCGATTTTCGGCATCGTTTGAAGATACTTATGATGTACCAGATGTTTGTCAGAGTCACCGGTATGATCCGACCAAAAATCATCGTGCCGACTGGCTTATTGCGATACACTCTTTCATTTCAATTTATTTCCAATTTATTCCAACGCACAACGTCCTTTATCTTAGCCAATTATCGTCATCAGCACTTTGAATATAAGCACAGGTAAAAAAAATAAGTAAGAAAATTAAATTCGGTCGCGGCCGAATCTTCAATACCCATCACTGTTTACCCCAAAAAGGCGACAAAAGAAGTAAAAGAACAAAATTTTCATGGTCTATAATACGGAGCGCGGGCGCAACTAATTTTTTCTATTTTCAAAATAAAAGTTTTTGTGGTATAGGCATGTGGGCGTTGTAGGCGTGTCGTTTGAAAAGTTTATGTCAATTCCAAAGACTTTCGTAAATTTGTAAGCGGTACCCTTATCCAGACGGATAGGCGGACACGTTTATGTCCGTTCAAAATTTGAAACTGGGCAAGAAATTAGAGACTTTATAGGGTTATTGAAGCTTATTTTTGCGAGTTATAAAGATATTGAAAAAGCAATTTAATTTTGATACATTATAATATTAGGTAGGCGTGGTCGATTCTTCCATTTTTGTACACAAATGCTGCAGCATCGCTTATAGTATATGCATTCAAATTTTTGTGCATTTATTTGCTTCAGTTTATGAGTAATAAACAGAAACCAATTTTTCATTCCTTTTGAAAAACAGACGTGTTCTCAGTTTGCTTGAGGGCGTGTCCTTCTTCCGATTTGGCCCATTTTCAGTACCAACTTGCATGCAAGAACTTCGAATGTTTCTGCCAAATTCGAAGACGATAGTTTTATTTTCGTGGCAAGGAGAATGTTTTACAACAGACATTATATAGACGGGCAGGCGGACAGACAAACATGCTGAAATCGACGCTGGTAAAAAATATGTGTACTTTGTAGGTCTCTGATGCTTCCCTGTGGGCGTTGCAAA